CATAACCGACACCGATACCCTCCATCGCGATAGACATCTGACACGAACCAGAGACTGACCTGGACAGTGCTAAATGCAGACACGAGCAAGAGTGCGTCACACATTAGTCGGGTATGACCAGGGCCTGATGACCGAAGACTGGCCTGAGCCCTTCAAATGAGCCCGAGAAGACATGTCATGCCGTTGCGCACATACCACGAATTTCACCTGTGCCCTCTAAGCCATAGCACTAGACCACGACAATGAAGAATATGAAGAAACAACGCTGAGGGGATTCATATATCAACACCCCATGCGGCTAATACGGCAGCAAGACCCAAGCCCTATCTACACTTCCTTCTTCTCATCCGCCTCCGTCTCGGTTCCCGACCGTTCAATATCCAGACTCTCCTTTGCTTCTTTGCCCTTCTTCTTGATCGAGTTCATCGAAAACCGGCTGCTCCACCCGGCGATGCGACCTTCCTTGCTCTCCTTGGACTTCGAAGGCCCTAGCGACGGGCTGCTTCCGACACTGTCGTAGCTGCGGCCCAAGTGGCCCAGGTCTTCTCCCAGATCATCGATGTCGCCGATGCTTGAGCGCTCCATTGAGTAGTTCTTGTCCGAGTTGGTCGTGCTGCCGGGACCCTTCTTAAAGAGACCTGATTCCTTTCCTAGACGAGAAGAGAGGCTGAACTTGCTGGAGCTACCCTTGCGGAAGAGTTTGCGCATGGCACTCTCCTGGTCCTTGAAGCTCGACGGTGCGCCGGAGGAGTGGTTGTCCGACGGTGTGTTGGAAAAGGTGCGCTCGAGAGAGAGCGACTCGCGGGACTCGGTGACCGATACAGACGTTTGCGTGTGTACCGAGAAGGCATCACGAGACTTGCGCGAGTCGGTAGGAGACTCGTAAAACATGGGCGGTGCCTCTAGGCTCGGAGTCGTGGCCTTGCTCTTGTCTTTAGCCTTGCCCTTGGTCTTATCCTTGGCGCCATCTGTGTCTTTATCCTTAGGACGGAACAAGCCGGCCATGAACGTGGGAGCGTTGGGATTGAGCTGCTGGTTGAGTGCATCGGCATCGGACTGCATCTGAGCCTGTGCTTTGGCTTTGGACTTTGGGGGAGGGCGGCTGCCGATAACACCGACTTGGCTGGGAGACACCTGCGGGTTCAGAAGAGCCTCTTCATCGAGGATCTCATCGTCAGCTGAGGCAAGTGTTGTCTTGAGAGCAGCTGGAGATCCATGGATGGATGGGCGTCGAGAGGGGTTCCGAGAACCCTGCCACAAGACATCCGGCGACCAAATGCGGCTCTTGTTGAAGTTGTCACCAGGGGCCCCCCAGATGGAGCCACTGTCGGTAGACGGCCTGGGAAGATCAGCTGAAGCGATGGATGCTGGTCGTGGGCTGCTCGGTATGCGGTCTGCGAAGGCGTTTGACGAGCTTCCGAACGGATTCAGACGCTTGGCAAGCTTTGAGCTATGCAGCATCCCCTCGCCGGAAGACTCGGCACCGGGCGCAGCTCTGTTAAACCAGTTTGACGAAAAGCTAATTTTGCGCTTGCTGTCTTCTTCGGTTTGTCTGGGGAAGGACTGGCTCTGGCCGTGTTTCAAACTTCCAAGAGCCGGTCCAACATCCGTGGTTGCGTCCTTGACACCTCGGTTGCGATTGAAGCTTGCGAGCAAGTTGGTTAGGCGGTGACTTGAGGCGGGGGGCGGTCCAGGTGAGGAGGTGACATCGTGAATAGATCTGCGGTCGAACGAATCCGGATGGTGCAGGGTAAAGGGCAGGTTGTAGCTGGAGTTGTGGGGGCTGGAAACGTAGCTGTGTCGGCCAGATGACGCGGGAGAATGTGTGTCGTTAGCAAAGTCGGGGACTGCTGGACTCTTCCGAGAATCCGAAATCGGGCTTGGAGGGTCGTCGTCGTCCATATCCATATCCATCAGGATACCCGACGGGAGAAGTGCCGTCGCCGTCGGGCTAAGGGGCGCGCCGCCAGTGAGAGCCTTGATCTCGGCATCGCTGAACGTTGACTGGTCGATGCCGAAAGGTTCGGCTGACATGTCCATGAAGGGGCCTGGGGCGAAACCAGCGTGGCTGAGTCCGAGAGAGGAGGGGAAGATAGGCTCTGCAGAGGCGAACTGCCCTGGAGGCGAAGGCATGCTGACGCCGTGTGCCGAGTTGTTGCTGGCTCTGCTTCTCCTCTTGACTTGGGTGGACATGTTCTGATCAAAGTCAACACCAGACGAATTGGCCTGACCATACAGTTGTAGACCGGACTGCTGCTGGGTGTAGACCTGAGTGTGGAGGACGTGGATGTGGTTCTCGATCTGCTGCGCGCGGCGGTCCTCCATGATCAGTTGGCTCTGCAGCTCCCGGCGTCGCAAGTCAAAATCTCGTCGCATCTTTCGGTCCTCCTCCTTCCAGCGCTCATCTTCCTCGCCTCCTGGCAATTGTTTTCGGTCATCCTCTAGCTCTTTCAGCTGTTCTTTTTTCTCCTTGTACTCGGCTTCCAGCTGCGCAAACTCTTCTTGCAGGGCGGCATTCTCCTCGCTGAGATGCTTTACCTGGAGGTCGCGGTCCTGCTGCACATGTTCGCGCTCGCTCGAGAAGCCGTCCCTAGACTTCTTCATCGTGCCGACGTCTGTGTTGCACTTGTCGACCGTCTCGCTCATCTTCCTCCGCTTATCCTGCTTCTCCTTGAGGACACTTTCTTTTCTAGCCTTTTCCTTGTTCGTCTGGCGCATCTGCTCATAGGTCGCTTTAACCTTCTGCTTCAGCTGCGTCGTCTGATCATCCTTCTCCTTGTGTGTTTGCTTCTTCTTTTCCTTTTCCTTCCGCAACGAGTCTTGCATCTTCTTGAAGTCGGCTTCTTCCTGGCTGTATTGCGCCAGCGTTTCGTCAATCTCTCTCCGCGTCTTTTCGAGCGCATCGGCGAGCTCCTTCAGGGATGGTTCGGGACGGTCGCTGTTGTAGGGCATCTTGATGACTGGCTGATCCTGGCTCGCTACCGAGGGTGAATGGCGTCTATTCAGTGTGTTGCGCCGCTGGCCGGGCGCTGTCGACGTGCCTTCGCGCGGAGGCGCGGATACGCCATCGACGGATGGTGCAGCTTCGATAGAGGGAACCGGGGTGCGGCCGGTGGTGTCTTCGGCGGCTTGTGATTGACCGGCGCGTGATCCCTGGTCCTGGAAGCTGTCGGGCACGCGCGAGTTGCCGAGTTCGGGGCGTCCATCGCACTTGTAGGTTCGCAGTCGGATCATGGGGCTGCCGGCCTGAAAGTTGTTGGGTCCCACGGCGATGACGCGAACGTTGTAGCAGTGGTTGGGTCGCAAGCCGGTGACGGTGATGGCGGTCTCCTCGGGCCTCGACTCGCCGACATTGACACCGTTGACTTGAATGAGGAACTTCTGGACGGGCCGGTTGCTGGCAGGGCGAGTCCAGCTCAACGTGGCAGCGTCGGCGCGAATGCCGGCGAGGGAGACATCAGGCGGTTCGGGGACGTCGACGCCGAGGATGCTGATGAGGTCGGATGTGGGTTTCCAGAGCGTCTGCCAGGTGCGGTTCAGCAGCCACACGACTGCGCCGAGGGTGACGAGCATGTTGGCATGGCCCAGCAGCAGGGTGTCGAGCTGCAGGTACCAGAAGAGCTCGCGCGAATGATGTAGAGACCAGGCGAAAGAAGATGCGGCGTAGTTGGGGGCGACGACCCAAAAGGTGACAAGAGTGGCAAGGGAGAGCAGCAGGGTCTGAAAGAAGTTGGCGTTGGGTCGTTTAAACCACCAGGCGACGAGGGAGGTGACGAGAAGGAATCTCATGGAGAGCAGCCATAACATGGCCGCGACAAGACAAGGGAACCTGAAGGAAAAACCACGAGACAAGCATTCGAACCAGGCGGTCAGGCGGTCAAGAGGTGGAGAGGGGGGGTAAAAGGTGAGAAGGGAAAGAAGAGGGAACAGCACAAATGGGATTTAGTTGGAGCAAGGTTGCAGCAGCGCAAGCAAGTGCAGTAACAAAGAAAAGGGTGGGTTGGCGGAAGGGACGATCAGAAATCTCGGCAGTCGAGTTTGGGGGGGGGGGGGGGCGAGGGTCGTGTACTGTGTATATGGCCTGCATCACTGTGTGTCTCCCTGTCGTCATGACCATGGGGGGGCCCTAGGTAGGGCTAGCGGCCAAGAGTTCACTACCTCTTGAAGGTGAGTCGCCTTGTAGATTTTTACAATAGGGTGCGGCTCTCATGCTTGACCACTAAAGTCCTGACTCATGCGTGTTTTGCACAGTGCAAAAGGCACGTGCTAGATGGGAGCCGCCCGGACAAACAAGGCGATGGAAGGTACATCGTGGGCCCTGCCCGTTGGCAGCACTTGGCCGGTTTCCGGCATCATTGGCCCGGATGAGATGGACTGGATGCAGCAGGCATAACGCACACAATGCGGTGCCTGTGACCTTATTTCGCAGTTGGAAAGCCACCCGCCCATCCCGCCATCTCAACTCACCAACAACGCTGGCTCGCGGCACTTGTGCGGGACACGTCTTGGCGCAGCTCGCCAACAAGTCCCTTGCCGAGCACGCGGAAACAAGTGAAAGCTAGCATTTGCTACCATGCTTCTTTTCGGCGTCTGTAAAAAGACGCAAGACGATCATCGTCCGATCAGAACACCTACAGAGAGAGCGTTCTTGCATTGGTGTGAGGAGACCGCTGTAAGCCCTGCCACGGCCAATCATCCCGAATACAGTCAGTCACACGAGAGAGTGAGTCCCTCCTCGGCGCGGATGAAGCAGTATTAGGCAGGCGGTGAGGCGACCGGAGATGGGCAGAAATTGGTCAAGCTCCGAAGCTCACCCGGCGAACGAACTCTCAACTCGGTGAAGACCTCACTTAGCGCTCTCTCCACCATTGGACCATCCGACGACACCAGATACCCAGACCCTCCAAACCAGCACTTGCCTTCTCCTGTTCGACGCCAAAGGCACCGCAAGGGACCCTCCGTGACGCACCAACCTCCCGCCGTCCGCCACACTTCCCTACATGGCCGCAATGGCCGCCCGATCCCCAACCGGCGCCCCCGTCGAGGAACCCAAGCTCGGCGTACCCTCCCTAAACCCTCTGCCCCTCTCTGCCTCGCAAGAAGCTCAAGTGCGCGACATCTACTACGCCCGCGTGCGAGCAGCATGTGCCCCCGAAATCAAAGGTACCAATTGGCTCACTTCCTCTGCCTCTTTGGCTCCCCCGCCGATTCCCCCCTCCCCGCTGACAGCGCACGCCGAACCAGCCTTTGCCGAATGTGCTCTGGGCCGCACCCTCTCCATCCCCTTCGTCTGCCGCACGCCGCACCGGGCCATGAACTCGTGCATGGTCTCCCACGCGACCCAGGCCGAGCAGGACGCCGCCCGCGAGGACTGGTTCGCGCAGCGCCTCGAGCGCCAGCGCGAGCGCGAGCGCAAGGCCCAGAAGAAGGCCGGCCAGGAAGAGTTTCTCCGCGAGTGGTGGGGTCTTCCCGAGAAGGACGCCGAGACGCGGAGGAGGGAGGAGGAGAAGGCCGCGCGGGCCGAGAGGGTCGGCGGCTACGCGGCGAGGAATCGTGTGAGATGGGGAGAGTCGGAGGCGGCGCCGACAGGCGAGGAAACCAAGAAGAGGTAGAGATGAAAAGGAGAGGGCAGTCGTTTCCCCTTGCACGGGACAATGTGTTTTGAGTAGTGTATGCCAATTGGCCGGAAGGGGGACGAGAGAAGAGGGGTTGCTGTGCATTCTATGGCGTTCTTTGGGAGGGGGCTAAATCGCAGCATCGGACACCCTGCTCTTTCTGGCGGATTCTTAAGCTTGTACGAATATGATAGGGGAAGCTGAGTTGCTGCACACGACAGTCGAGCGTATGATTCATCAAATTTTTCATCTCTTTTGAGCATGAACATCATCAGATTGCAGCGCAATGCTGCGCCTTGTCTCCTATTCTCATCATGTACGTCCCAAGTATGACCCTGATTTCCTGTTGTCGAGTCCTCTTGTTCTATCGCTTTACTTTTTTCCTTCATGGACGTCCAGTCAGCACTTCACTGGGCAGGCTTCTGCAGGTCGGCCGGCAGCGTGGCGACCTTGTCGTTGAAGAGCTTCTCAGCCCTCGTCCAGACAGGATCGGTCTTGCGGTTCTTCAGCGTGAGCAGATACGGCAGCAGGTCCTTGCTGTACGTCTCGGAGGCTTCACGGGGGAGGAGGCTGGGAAGGTGATCAATGCTGATGACGCTCAGGGGCGGGTTCTCGAGTCCCTCGACGGGCACTGTGGGCTTGTCAAAGGTCGTGGCGACGGTGTAGATGGGGACTGCTGTGGTGTCAGTAGCGATCATGACAAAAAAGAAGCAGTACACTGACCAGGGTTGTTGGGGTTGGTGGTGTCAGCAGAGACGTCGCAGACAACGGACAGCTGCCTCTTGGGCGACTTGAGAGACTCAAAGTCGACAAAGTTGGGAATCTTGCTGTTGAGGTAGATGCAGTTGACGAAGATGTCGCTCTCAACAATCTCGGTGAAGGGGCCGCCCCTCTTCGTCTCCTCGAGATCCCACTTGAGGATCTGCTCCTCGGGCAGGCCGACGCGGCGGCACAGCTCGACGGCACCGCTGCCGCAGCGGCCGAGGGCGCCGATCACGAGGACCTGGGGCAGCTTGCCGGACTTCTCCTTGCCCTCGGCGATGCTCTTCTTCACAGCGGTGATGAGCTCGTCCTCGTTGGGGTAGCTCTCGACCGAAGGCAGGGGCTTGCCGGGGTTGTTGAGCTGCCAGGCCCAGTTCTGGAGAGCCAGGGCAGCACCGGAGAAACCGGCGCTCCAGCCAAAGGCGGCGACTCGGGCGAAGCGGCCGGGGGCGACCTCCTTCTCGAGGAACTCGAGGTCGTAGAGGGTGCCGCCACCACGAGGGAAGCGGGCCAGGACGTTCTCCCATCCGCCCTGCTGCTTGTAGCAGTGCGCAAACTGGACGTGAACGTGCTTCAGAGGGACTGCCAAGGGGTATCAGCACCAAGGTAATGCAAATTGGAATCAATGCAAGTCATGACTCACAGTCCTCTTCAAGAAGCTCCTTCAGGCCAACAATGATGTGATCCTGAGGGGCTTCGGTCCAGCTGCCCTCGGGGACGAGGGTGGCGCCAATCTTCTCGAACTCGGCATCGTCGAAGATGCGAACAGGGCTGCGTTCGACATTGAGGGTGTAGCCAGCCTTGATCAGCTCGGATGCCGTGAAGGGGGTCAGAGCACTGCGGTGCTCCAGCGGCTTGGTCTCAGACCGGAGGTGTAGGGTGATGCCAGACATGGCTGGAATTGTGACGGCCTGTAGATGGGGCGTTAGCTGCGTCTCTGGGGAAGGTTCGGCTTCGTGAATAGCTCACAATGTGGGTGTCTATGTGGTGATGCAGTCTCAAACAGAGTCAATTGGGATTTTCCGCGCTGTACTTGTTGAATGCAATGGTGTCGCGACGGGTTCAAAACGTTTCCATGCGCAAGTAAGTTTTGGGGTCGGGAGTCATAGCATCCCAGATGGAGGGGCCGGTGACGGGACAGGTGCATCGAATGGAGGGGCGAGCGTGGGGCAGTTGTGGCAGAACCCACACCGCCCTTTGCTTTCCACCTTTAGACTTTGGCCCATCCTCCATCTCGTTGGCTTTTGTGCCTGTATCTGACAGCTCCATCAATCAAGCCCCTCAGCCTACTCGTTTGCTGTGATACCCAGGGTCATTATGATGGTGGGCCATCAAAATATGCCGCCGTCGAACTACACAACGGGACGGACATACAGAGTCCAACGCCCAGTTCTGGCCACAGCACTCTCGAGCCATCTCAGCGCCGTCTGAAGGAGGAGCAAGGAAGCGCATCTAGCTCAAGTAAGCGATGTCTGTCGCCCACAGTCCACAACCTGATTCAATCAGCAAAACGCCATCGGCCTTCTGATCGTGTGGACCGATCATCGGAGCGGCCCCAAGCATCGTCTGCCCGGAGACCAAAGTCTCCATGACTGAGCGACTTAATCCCTGATGGACAACGGCAATGGCACAGGGAAACCCATCAAACAAGACATGGTCAGGTTTGAAGAGTACTAATGCTAGAGGTTCGAATATTCTTACTCCCGAGACGTATAAATTTAAAGAGAAAAAGGCCATCACACCAAGCAGTCAGACGGCGTGCGATATGCCCCCCTTCGCCGATCGCAACCTCAATCTGGGATTAAAAGCTTACCATAGGCCGAACATGACCAAGTGTGCCCTCCTCCCAATGCACTCGGAGCACCTCAATCACCATCACAGGCACACTGGGGTTCCGCAACGACCAGCACGCGGTCTACCCGATCGCGCTCACCCGCCAGGAGAATCCTTCTCCGCCAGCTCATTCGCCCGTTCCTCTTTGCCGCGATGCATAGGGTCAGCAACCCAGGGTCTCGAACAGAGGGCGGAAACACGGAGACAAGCATTTGCAGTCACATCCAATAGCGCACATGGTTAGGCTTGTTCGCCTCAACCAACCCCGCGCGTCTCTGTGCTCCCAGGTTTGGGCTCGGCGGCTACGCTGCAGCGTGACGGGTCCAGTGATTGGCTCAGCGCTCTCATCCCGTCTATTTGTGTCGTGCGCCTCAAGCACCTCACCAGTCGCGGCGCACCCTCTCAATCCATCGAGCGCTTACCTGGAGAAGAGGTCGGGGGCCACTGGCAAGTGCCGTGTATCCTGCGTTGGGTAGTATATACTCCGTCTTAACCATGGTCTGCTCCAAAGTCGTTGGTCTTGGGCCGTCTACCATCCCACGAATACTCGAGACAGCTTCGATTGGGGGGCCCGCGCATGTCTTTTGTTGGGTCTACCACTGTCCTGGGAACAACACGAGTAGGTGAGAGGACCAGCGACCTAGACTTGATTTTCATCGCAACTGTCCTTCAGTGAAGGTATCTCACTTGCTTCACTCATACCACTGGCGAAATCCTGAACCCGCCATGTCGGCACCACCGCCTCAACCACCGGGAGGGTACTCACTCTTCCCGAATCCTAACAGCAAGCCTCCAACAACAAAACGGCCATCCTCAAGAACGAGGAGGTCAGAATCCCGCGAGCGCTCACGAACACGAGCGCCTACGCCCGGCGCCGAGGCGACCACTTCATCGGCCCCTCATGCCATTGATACTTCGCCGCCTCGCCAAGGCCGCAGGCACAGGCAAAGGCCCTCGATCGACACCACAGTCCCACCACAGACCATCCACCAGTCCCCGATGGACGACGTGCAGATAGCTGTAGCTACACGCGTGGAGGCCCCAATCCATGTGCAAAGACCACCGCCCGTCGCAGATATTCCGCCTCGTTCGGACACGGCCTTTTCGGAGGCCCAGACACTGGTTCGCAGCAACAGCACTCGATCGCGCAGCTCAATAGCCAAACTGCCTCTCAGAGAGGAATCATCTTCGGCAGGGCAGCCTTCAAGGCCTCAGCCCGCCATTAGGTCCATCTTCCCGCAGTACAACCCAGAGGTGTCTCTGAACCAGCAAGACTACTTCCCGACTCAGACAAGCCCAACGCACATCCCCCGTGCGGTCATTAGCAGGATGACCTATCAACCGGAGGACCACCACGTCGAGGCTTCGAGTCCAGCGGTTGTAAGCCCAATCGCCAGTCCGTCAGCCGCGTCTCAACCTGCACCACACGCCCCATCTCAGGCCCAGGCCCAACGTTGGCCTCCGAGGAATCATGAGATCCCCACTCTTCCGGTTGAGTCTTCCACAGAGCAGCTGAAGAACTTGTGGAAGGTCGTCAATGGCTGGAAAGCCTCACCCTCTGACGGGCGAGTCTTCTGCATGAAGCTCTCTCAGGAGAAGGACGCTCCCGTCTACACACTATCCTCCAAACAACAACCGTTCTACAATATGCGTCTAGACCCCACCTCTGCCTCGGCTATTGTAACACTTAGTCGACATGACCCCAACAAGCATTACAAAGCCGCCAGCGCCTCCACGACGAACTCGTCAGCGAGTAGCATCATCAACAATGTCGTGGGAAGCAAAGATGCGAACAAGAACTCCGACAGCAAGAATTGGCAGGAAGTCATCAGCACCACGCTTGAGGAGGAGTCCCGTCGGCATCGCCCCAACGATGGCCTCGTTGCTCTTCTCTACCCGGCTGCTGCACAAAATGTGGCGCTGAACCGGCCTGATGATGCAAATGCCATCGCCATGGCCGAGACAGAATGCACTCGTCTCGTCTGGGACGATGACTCGGGCTCCCACTTTCTCGTTCATCCTGCCCTCGCGACGCCATTCTGCATCACTATCGAGCGCAATGCCGCCTGGAGCCGCACCGAGTACACGCTCGAGCACCATGAGAGCCCACAGCACCTGGCCAAGCTTACCCGTGACGGTACTGGCTCGGGCTGGCTCGAAGTCGATACCGCCATCGCCGCCAAGATTGAGAGCTTCTTCATCGTTGATGTCGCTGTTGCGGCGCTGCTGCTCGTTGCTGCTGGCGACGAGCGGACGGCGCACGTGGAGACCTTTGAACCCCCGCCGCTGCCGCCTACACTAGATACTGCTAGCGGCGATGGGCGGTCAAGTCGTCTCGGCGGACGCAGCGGCAAGAAGAGCAGCAAGCGCAAGATGGAGGCGTTTGAGATTGACGTTGAGAGCCAGGACGGCGGGTTTGCCAAGTTTGAGCAAGTGACCAAAGAGACGCGGCGGATGCTGCCGTGGCCGCTGAGGGCGGCGTTCAAAGTGCTCGGCGGGGTTTTCAAGTGCTTCGTGTGGTGTCTGACGATCATTTTCAAGGCACTCGCGGCGGTTGTGGTCGGGCTGGCTCGATGTGTCGGGGTGAAATAGGAGTTGCGACTCGCGTTGCGTCAACAGCGGTCGTTATTGTTATTTTATGGTTATGATTACGGATGGGATATACCACGATGCGACCGATCTCCGGTCAGGATAGGAAACTGGATTATTAGCATGGGAATTCAAGCGTCTTTGGGGTAACAGGGAAAGGGTCTGTAATGTCCTCGGCATTTCCTTTATCTAGCAGGAAGAAAACCTATGCTCGGTCATTGGGTATCGCTCAAAAAAGAATTGACATGAAAGTGGCCTCTCAGCTCCCAAGCGACCGGATCACCTCTTCCGCGTGCGGACCATGATCTTCTTGCCCTTCCTCGTCGTGCCTCCTGACGTTGCCGTCTTGGCCATTTTGGCCTGCTGGATCTCGAGCTCCTGCTCCGCCTTGGTCAGGACCTTGAGTTTCCTCTGGGCCAAGGCCAGCTCGGCACGCAACCGCTGCAGGTTCTTCCTTTTCCTCGCCGTCTCCTCATCGACCGCCTCTTCCTTCTCATCATCGTCATCTTCGTCGTCGAGCCCGTCCTCGTCATCCGCGCCCCCGACTTCCTCCTCCTCCTCCACGGCCTCAAGCTGCTGCGCCACATCGTCGACGAACACAATCTTTTTCGGCTTCGGCGCCTCGGCAAAGTCAAACTCGTCCTCGTCGCCCTCTCCGTCCTCGTCATCCCCAGCCGGCAGCCCCTCGGCCGCGAGCACAACGGCCTCCGTCAGCCTCCGGACCTCGCGCATGACGACGCTGCGCGTCGTGCGCACGTAGGCAATGTCCTGGGTCTTGAGCAGGCGCACGAGCGACACCTCCATGGCGCGGTTGCCGCGGTCGCCGGCGACGGTGCCGCGCCACTTCTTGCCGTCGAGCACGCGGGACCCGGGCCCGTCGCGGGAGAGCATGCCGAAGTAGAACTCATCCTCGTTGCGGTCGGCGGCCTTTTCGCGCAGGGACTTGAGCGTCGCGGATTTCTTCTTGTAGTCTTTCTGTCGGAGTTGGCGGTCCTAAGGAAAAAAGCATGTTAGATCGTTTGTCTACAGGGCAGAGCGAGAGGAGGAGGGGGGGGGGCGAACCTTGTCCTTCTCGAGGAGGCCGAAGCGCTTGCGCTCGAGGGGTTGGGCGCGCTCGCGGTGAGAGCGCCTCTGTACGGCGTTTCGCATGGACGACATGATGGCGATGTGGGCGAGGATTTTGGCACGGGACTCGTGAGGTGGAGGTGCTTCAAAATGGTGAGAAGTCAAGATGGACTGCTGCGGAAGGCGGCATGGCGGCAGAATTTGTGAAATTTTGGGCGGTGAGGATTTGGGGTGCCGGACTTTTGATGTGGTCTGTGCTGACTGTGTTGCCTTGTGTCGTATCTTATCTGCCCCTCCAACCGCCAACTGCCGAATCCCTACGGATCTGACCCCAACAACCTCATCACGATGGCCTCGCTTCTACTGTGTTCTGCTGAAACCCGATGGCTTCTGAATACGGATCACTGGGGTCATTCACCAGTCCTTCACTCTTCGACATGATGATCCATGCCCTGAGGTAGAGATAGAGCGGGCGCAGTTTATTCGCTGCTCCTCGACCTTGGAGAATGCCAAATGCCAAGGCACAAACATTGGAGAGTGTCGCGAGATACATCACAAGCCCGTCATCCAGAGCCGAAAGTCCGCATCGAGAAGACAAGTGGAATTCAAGTTGAATCTTGGCGAAACGCGACGAGCTGCCAAGCCGGATTCTGCTCAGAATCACCTTTCCCACGCACGAGCTGGAGCTAGTCCTGCGCCTGAAACCCAAGGCTCGTCGAGCGGGATGAAACAAACCTCTCTTCGAAGGCGGCCAAGCAATGCCTAGTAGCTATCGTGCCCATGGACTGCTTTGTACCCTTGGCTTTCAGCAAGTGCAGAAATGTCACCCCAAACAGGAACAGAGAAGAGGGTCAGCAGTTTGGCCACTGACGATGTACCACGCACATCAAGGCCGTCACGGTGGTTCGAGAGAAGCAGAATGGACCGAAAACTGCATTTCATCAACAAGGTTTGGTGAAATGATAGAAATTCAGTTGACCTGTCATGGACCCTGAAGAAAGGGCGGCAGATCACCACACAGGACGTCTTTCTTGACCCTGCCATCGACATGTAGATGACAATCCGTGGGCACGAACTGCCGAGACACCCTCCCATGACTCCATACTACGTTGCGAGGTCTGATCGCTGGGTTCGTCTTGGGCGTTTCACTGGAAACCTCTACCTGTTCAACGACCCCTCGCGACGCGTTCCGCCGCAAAATGACCCTGTGATGCCTGCCCAGTCGCTGAGCAGTCGTCGCGCAGGGGCAGAGGACGATCGTACAAAATGGCCCCTCTCCGCGCCTTCACATGGTGCAGACGAATCCCACCAGGCTGGCTCTCTGTTGTGCATTCATACCCCCCTTCGCTTCATCATGGTTGCCAGAATCACTGTTCGGTACCAGACGACGTCCTTCAGGCTAGTCCTGGGACTGGTTGCTTTTGTCATTGTTTCTCTGATGTATCTTCAAGATGACGACATGCTACTGCCGAAGCAGTTTGTCCAAGTCACGACTCGCCCTACTACCTCGTCGTACAACTGGGCCAAGCATCCCCAGAAATATCTCACGCGCGAGGGCAAAATGTCGCGACTGCCAACCGGGAAACCTTTGGCGTTGCCCAAGGTTCAACACGACTTTGAAGCTGAGCGATCCAGAGACCTCAAGAGGGCAAGACATCTGTCTGTCTTCTCGTCACCACAGAACTTTGAGCGCCAGCAGGCCATCAAGAACGCCTTCAAGAAGACCTGGACCAGCTACAAGCGGCATGCATGGGGCTACGACGAGTTGAAGCCCATTTCGTTGGATGGCGTGGACAAGTTCAACGGCTGGGGTGCTACCATCGTCGACTCACTCGACACCTTGTGGATGATGGGCATGTACGACGAGTTCAACGATGCTGTCGAGTTTGTGGCCGCCCTCGACTGGAACAACTCTACCCAGCTGCACTGCAACCTCTTCGAGACGAACATTCGGTATCTCGGAGGCCTCATTGCAGCGTTTGACCTCAGCCAGGAGAGGGTGCTTCTCGAAAAGGCTATCGAGCTTGGTGATATGCTGTACGCCGCTTTCGACACGCCGGATCGCTTTCCCCCGTTCATCTTTAGCTTTGAGAACCTTCGCGCTGGTCGGATCATACCAGACGCCTTCCAGAGCGCCGCTGCCATTGGCAGTTTGTCTCTGGAGTTCACCCGCCTCGCGCAGCTGACCAGCGACAACAAGTACTTTGACGCCATTGACAGGATCAAGCGTGCCTTTGCGGGGATCCAGAACTCGACGCTGCTGCCGGGGCTCTGGCCCAACGTTGTCAGCCTCCGCGACGGCTTCCAGGCCCCGAACAACGTGTTCCGCCTCGGCGCCGACGGCGACTCCCTGTACGAGTACCTCCCTAAGATGTACGCCCTTCTCGGCGGTCGCGACCCCGTGTACGCGGACATGTACGCCCACGCCGCGTCCACCACGCGCGACCACCTCCTCTTCCGCCCCATGACCCCCGACAGCGACGACATTCTCCTCCTCGGCAGCGCCATCGTCGACCAACTCACATCGACGGTCGCGCACGTTGCGGAGATGGAGCATCTCACGTGTTTCGCCGGCGGCATGTTCGCCCTCGCCGGCCGGCTCTTGGAACGACCGGACGACGTCGACGTCGGCGCCAAGCTGGCGCGCGGCTGCGCCTGGGCCTACGCCTCCACCGACAGCGGCGTCATGCCGGAAAAGTCGCAGATGCTGCGTTGCCCGGGCCTCGAGCCCTGCGCCTGGGACAAGGAGCGCTGGCTCTCGCTCAGCGACACGGCGACCCTCACGGCCATGGCCGCCGGCGGCGGCGACGGCGGCGGCGACGGCGACGGCGATACCGCGACCAAGAGACCGGCGCCGCGGGGCCACTGGCGCGTCGACGACCCGCGGTACCTCTTGCGTCCCGAGGCCGTCGAGAGCCTGTTTGTGCTGTACCGGGTCACGGGCGAGGCGGAGCTGCAGGACATGGCGTGGGACATGTGGCGGGCGATCGAGAAGGCGACGGCGACGGACGGGGCGTTTGCGGCGCTCAGGGACGTGACGGCCGAGGCGCCGGAGCAGGTGGACGAGATGGAGAGCTTCTTCCTCGCGGAGACGCTCAAGTATTTCTACCTCATCTTTTCGGATCCCACTTTTATGAGCTTGGATGACTGGGTGTTCAACACGGAGGCGCATCCTTTCAAGAGGCCGGGGACAGCGTGGGTGTAGGTCGACGTGGGAAGCGTGGGTTTGAGGACGACATGGGAAATGCGGGCATGAGGAAGGTGCCTGTGGAGGGTGGATGTAATGTTATGAGGGGCGAGCAGTGCGGCTCTGGAGGTTGGGGAGAGAGCAGGGTGCCGGCACCACGGAATGATGATACCCAGAAGCAGAGCACGTTGAGAATCGAAACTTTGCCACGCATTTGTCCATGGGCATGCGTTCCCTGTGCATGCCCACGGGCATAATCCAACAGAGCGTACCGGATTCGAGTTGGTCATTCATTGTCTTGCTGGAAAGAAATGTCTACATGTCCCTAGATTGCCTTTTTTTGTCTTTCTCCTGCCGTGGTCTGCATCCACAGCCGCTACAGCTGGACGTCCTCGTCGCTCACGTCGGCCTCCTCCTCGACGTTCTGCTTGAAAATGACGCGCTCGGCGAGGGCCAGGGCGCGGCGCACAGGCAGGCCAACGACATTGTCGACGCCGCCGTCGATGCGGTCGACGAGCAGGATGCCGCCCATGCCCTGCAGGGCGTAGCCGCCGGCCTTGTCGGCGCCCTCGCGGGTCTTGACGTAGGCGTCGACGACGTCGTCGGGCAGGCCGTCGCCCTCCTGGACGAAGAAGACCTTGGTCTCCTCGGTGTGGGCGGCAATCTCGTAGCCCGGGTGGGCGGCGTCCTCGCGCGGGGCGATGGCGACGACCGAGGTCAGGACGCGGTGGACGACCGTGTCGCGCAGGTGCTGCAGCATGCGCAGGTGGTCGGCCTCGGAGCGGGGCTTCTCGAGGATGCGGCCGTCGCGCGTGACGATGATGGTGTCGGCGGCGAGGACGAGGTCGGGGTCGGGGATGGAGGCGAGCGAGGTGCGCAGGGCCGTCTCGTAGACGTCGAGGGCCTTTTGGCGGGCGGTCGCGGCGACGTATTCGTGGGGGCCGTGGGACTTTTTGTCAATGTTCTCGGGCAGGGAGGAGGGCGTGATCTCGAGGTTTGTGAGGCCGACCTGGGCGAGGAGGGCCTTGCGGCGCGGCGAGGCCGAGGCGAGGATGACGCGCTTGGACTTGAGGTGGTCGATGATGGGGAGCTTGAGGGGGGGCAGCGGCGTGCCGGCGGGACGGGGTTTGGGAGGGTCGGGGGCCTTTTCGGCCATTTTGGCGGGGTCGGAGTTGGTTGAGGGCAGCGATGTGGGTGAGCTGGGGTTGTCAATGGATCTGGATCGGACGAGAAGGCTTACGCTGCGTGGTATCGTCTTTTGGGTAGGAGGCAAGATGGTAGGTTCTGGTTCTTGGAGTTGAGGTTGCACCAGTGACGTTGCCACCAAGGTCCTAGGTAGGTAGGTACCCAAGGCACTGTAAGTGATGCACCTGCAGGCCTGTTCTAGTGATCAGGGACCCAGGCCTGCAGGCACCAGCACCAGCACCAGCACCGCACCAAGACCCCGAGACCCCGCCAAACCCACCCTTATCTAATCACCGCAGAAGCCCCTAAACAGACTCAGGGGCTAAGGCAGCCTGCAGCACCTCACCCCCTGAAGCAAAGGCTGCAGGGATTCGAGTCGTCACGCCTCGATTGCCCATCCCAATTCCCAATCCGATTCCCAAGTCTCGAGCCCCAGACTCTTCCTCTTCCTCTTCCTCCCCAAACCCCACGACGGCCCTTTGTTTCCCGCCCCGACATGTGAACGGAGAGACTGCACCATGGCCTCCCCCGCCAAACAGGCCGAATCCCCCGCCGCTGCCGCTGCCGGCGACGCCAACGCCGACGGCGACGACAAGCCGCGCCTGACGGAGGCCGAGAAGAAGCAGAACCACATTGCCTCTGGTGAGTCTGACATGTGACGCTCCTCGGCCCTGCGTCTCTCGTTGCGACAACCGCCACCACGGGGACCCCCCCCCCCTCCCCTCCTCTGGGCGCATCATAGTATTCCTGCATGGCATCGCAGAAACTGACACGCCGCCAGAACAGAAACGCCGACAGGCCATCCGCGAGGGCTTCGACCGCCTGACCGAACTCGTGCCCGGCCTCGAGGGCCAGGGTCGCTCCGAGGGCCTCGTGCTGCAGCGGACGGTGCGGTACATGCGCGAGCAGCTCGAGGCGAGGCGCGCCCTCGTGCGCAAGGTCGAGGCTGCTGGGGGCACTGTCGACGACGCTGACCGGCGATAGCGTCGTGCCGTGCTGTGTAGGGTGGAGGAACATGATACATGATGAAGAGGGAAAACAGGACAGACGCAGGCGCATTGATTCTGACGAGACGGAGATTGGGTGGCTCCGATGTGTTTTCTGTTTATTTAATTTTTTTAATTCCTTCTTGGAAAGACCATGTGCTGCGTCCCATGATACAATGCATCCATCACATCTATCCTACATGGTGACCGTACACACGTGCGCGTCTGCACACACTACTGGTACTTGTCGACCAGTTGCTTCATCCGGCGCAGCAGATCCGTCGGCGTCAGGTCCTCCCTGCTGCGCGTGGCCGCGTCGCGGCTGTTGAGCGTGACCGTCCCCTGCTCGACGTTCTGCTTGCCCACGACGAGAATCATGCCGTACGCCTTGGCCCGCGCCTCGGCGAGCTTCTCGCCAAGGGGCCTCGTGCTGACGTCCACGTCGACCGTGAACCCCGTCGGGTGCGGCTGCGAGAGCCCGGCGTCGGCACCGCCCTCGTCCTCGACCCCCAGCAGCGTCCTCTGCACCTGGGCCGCCCAGTCGACGACGGGGTCCGTGTCGTTGAGCGTCAGGATGGCCGCCTGCCGCGGGTTCAGCCAGAAGGGCCACCTGCCGTTGTACTCCTCAATCAGCAGCGCCATGAGGCGCTCGACGGACCCGAGGATGGCGCGGTGGATGAGCACGGGCGTCACGGGCCCGTACGTCTCGCGCAGCGCCGGGTCGGCGTCCGCGAGCGGCACGCCGCGGGCCTCGAGCGCCGGCGCCGGCGCGCTGTACTCGAGCCCGAAGCGCTGCGGCAGCTGAAAGTCGAGCTGGATCGTGCCGGCCTGGTGCGTCTTGCCGTGCGAGTCGCGCAGCATGACGTCAATCTTGGGCCCGTAGAACGCGCCGTCGCCCGCCTTGACCGTGTACGCGAGGCCCGCCTGCTCGAGGGCGCCGCGCAGCTGCGCCTCGGCCCGCGCCCACTCGGCGTCCGTGCCGATGTAGTGGTCCGCCGGCCGCGTCGACAGCGCAAACGCGTAGCCGTCGCCGAGGCCCAGCGCGCCGTAGACGCTCTTCATAAAGGCGAGCGTCCGGAACACCTCGGGCTGGATCTGCACCGGCCGGCAGAAGACGTGGCCGTCGTCCTGGTGGAAGCGCCGCACGCGCGTCAGCCCGCTGAGCGCCCCCGAGACCTCGTTGCGGTGGAGCGGCGAAAAGTCGGCGTAGCGGATCGGCAGGTCGCGGTAGCTGCGCGCCTTGGACGCGAAGATGAGGCAGTGGCCCGGGCAGTTCATTGGCTTGAGGCCGTAGTCGTCGTCTTCGCCCTCGGCGAGCCGGCTGCTGCCGTCGTTCGTCGCTGTCGGCGGCTCGCGGTCGCCGCAGCAGCTCGTCGCTTCGAGCTGGCGGGCGCGACTCGTCACGGTGTACATGTCGTCGGCGTAATTCTGCAGGTGGCCCGACACCTCCCACAGAGACTTCTTGTAGATGTTGGGCGTGATGACCTCCTCAAAGCCATAGCTGACGTATTGCCGGCGGAGAAAGTCGACGAGGCGGTTGAAGATTCGCGCGCCGTTGGGTAGGAAGATGGGCGATCCGGGGCTGTAGACGGACGTCATGAACAGCTCCTGCTGTGCGCCCACCTTTCGGTGGTCAGGCAACTCGGGCCTGTCATTTCGACGAGGTGTCGCCTTGGCTGAGGAAAATCGTGATGGCTTGGCGAAGGCGGTCCTGGGGATTTGATGGGGTCGATGGAAACAGCGCAGAGCCTGTCGTGCGAGCCGTGATGGGAGCATCACGTTGGTCTTTGCCAATGGCAAGTCATTGTCAGAATGTGTGGCAGAGGAGCTGGAAACCATCCAGCAGGTGCCTCTCGCAAAATGTATACAGGGATCGAGCAAGCTCTTTTCTCAAAGAGGACTAGTGACTTGGCCAGGTACCGGCCTTCGGCCTTCGGTCTTCGGTGAGGCCCGGTAAGTCCTGGTGAGACCCGGTGAAAGCACTCCTTGCAGCCCCTCAATTCCTCTGCCTTTTTGGAGGAACTATCGATAAGCCAGTTCACTGACTAATCCTTTGCGACGGCCGCCATAGGCCGTTCTTCTGTCGCTCGGTCTCCAGTCCAGGCAACTTCACCTCAACACCAACTTCGCCATCGTCACGCGCCTGGTCGCCGCAGAATCTCAACCCTTAGTCACGGGGCTCGACAATTGCGATTTTCTGCAAAGCGCCAGTGCAAGAGAACAGTTTCTCGTTTGCCATACACAATAGATATTCCCGCCTTTGGCGCGCCTTCCCTCGTCCCCCACGAGTCGCTCACTTACCGTCTGAGATCGCCACCGTTTCCCCACTAAAGAGATCCTGCCCTGCGGTACCTCACGTCACAGTGTGGACTGTTCCGTTGACCCAAGTCTACGAACATCCAGCTACTTATTAGTACGTCTTAGCTACAGCAGTGGCTTTGACTTTCAGTCTGCTGACAAGGTACGCAGAGGCCGGCCGTCCAAGCCCCATGCAGACAAAGACCTTCCGTTCACTTCGAACCTGACCGCAACCCCACCGCTGCCTTTGTCCCTGCGGCACCACCTGAAGCGAATTGACGGCATACACCTCCGAGCGACCTCAAAGACAGAGAAACAGCAGTACACCGACCGCGACCCACCTTGGATCGCTAGACCGACCTTCACCGACATTGACGCCGTTTGAATCGCCATCATGTCGAACAACGTCGTTGGTAATGTCTACCAACAGGTCATTGAGGAAGTCATTAGTGCCTCGCGCGTCGATTTCGAGGAAGGCGGTGTTGAGGATGGCGTTCTCGAGGAGCTGAAGCGCGGCTGGCAGCAGAAGCTCTCGCAGCTCGAGGTTGCCAGCTTCCCTTGGGATCCCAAGCCGGACCCTCCCCAGCCCGCTGCCTCCGCGCAGCCTCCTACGGCAGCCGCGCAGGCTTCATCACAACAGCAGCAGCAAGGGCCGGCAATGCAGCAGCAGCAACAGCCGCAACACATGTACCAGCAACAACAGCAGCAGCACGCTCAGGCGCAGTACGCGCAGGCCACCATGAACCCCGCGCCCAACGCTGTCGGCATCTCTCTGCCCACGGGCGGACCCGTCAACCACGACCCGAACGTCAAGAATGAGCCGTATATCAAGCAGGAACCCGGAAGTCAGACAGGGGCCCCGAACATGCACGCCGCTGGCGGTCTCGCCCAGGCGCGAGCCATGCAGCACATCAGCAACCGCTATGGAAACGATGCCTCGAGCGCCATCAACGCCGGCGCACAGCAAGCTCCGGCACCCGCACTGCCTCAGATGCAACAGAACCAGGCCAGGCCCGGCCAGCCACAGCAGCAGCAGCAACAACAACAACAACAACAACAACAACCACAATATGCCCTTCCTGGTCAGCAGCAACAGGGCTTCAAGAATTCGCAAACAGACGGCGCCGGTGACGAGGACGAAGACGAGGCGGACGATTACGACGAGGTCCAGGGCATTTTGATGCAGCGTGACAAGGCGGGTACTCTCCATGAGCTTGGCCGAGTGGAGATCGACGGGCTCCTGCACCAGCAATTCCTTTCCAAGGCCAAGGCCATGGAGGGCGGCGGCCTCATGCTGCCTCTCAAGGAAACGTCCAAGTCCTCCTCGGCCGTCACTGCGTCGAGAAAGGGCAAGGAGCGTGCGGGCGGCGTTGCGCAGTATGACGGCGAAGACGACGAAGACGGCCCTGAGATTGCCGACGAGGACGCCATCAACTCCGATCTTGACGACTCGGATGATGAAAAGGACGATGACGAGGTCGACGACGAGGGTCTGGGCCACATCATGCTCTGCATGTATGACAAGGTCCAGCGCGTCAAGAACAAGTGGAAGTGCGTGCTCAAGGACGGCGTTCTTACGGTGAACGGCAAGGAGTACGTATTCCACAAGGCCACGGGAGAGTACGAGTGGTAGTTGGCTGGAATCAATCTGTGCGGGCTCTTTTTTACGCAACAGCTGGACACGGCGCAGCCGTCTAGCAGACGATGTCGATCGTGCCTTTTTTTCTCTTTCTTTCGAACTGCTCTCGTACTCGACGAGCTTCAGTTCGGGCTAGTTCGCCGCATTGGAGAGAGAGAGGGAGAGGGATAGATGGTTGCGCTCACAACCTTGAGTCGCAACCCCTTTTCTTATGGGGTTCTTCGCGCGCGTACGGGATGTATTATGACGGGGAAGCAGCGCCCCGGCGAGGGCTCAGTCAGAAAGAAACCAGCGATCCCTCAATTTGGGAGCAGCAGCGAGAGAAGAGAGGTTGGCTCTCTATAATAGAACCGCCTTGGCTACGTTCCATGTGGCTTGCATCCGTGCCTGTGAATGTTACCTCGTCTCACTACCAGCAGCTGGCCATGTGCAGCAAGTTTCTAGTGAATGTAGTTTAGCCCGTTGTACTGTCCTCCTGAATATGCAAGAATCTTCCGCTTTGGACGTTTGTCCTAGCTCGAAATTGAGTGATCGGACGTGTTCATGCCTCGTGAGACTTTCGATCTCCATGCACAGGGCGGGTTTTCTCACCCGAACTATTGCTGCAAAGAGGCGAACGAAGATGTCGGCGCAGCGTTCATCGTGACAGTAACCACGCACCATAAGGATCGCCGACGCCATACCTTCCAGTCGCGGACGGCCAACCTCGTGGTGTCATGATGGATGTCGCTCTCCAGAGGTCTCATGTTCAGCCGAGCGCCAATGTCATCATGGATGTCTCGTCGCGACGTAGACTCTAAGCCATGCCGGCCCGACGATCCCCGTAGCCAGCTACCTATGCGAAAAGCAATCTGAGCAGGTCAATGACGACGACGAAAACGTCGAACAGCCCCCCCCCGTTCACCGGTCCAGGCGCGGCCATTCGAGAAGCAAACCACCCCCGCCAATGCAAACACGCGCCGACCACGAGCGTATCGCCCTCGAAACAAGGGCCCGCTGCCCCGCGTCTCAAAGGCCTGGCATGGTAGGCGTCCCTCGTCACCCTGGCCACGAGAGCCGTGCCGGCCGAACAGAATCACCTGCTCTGGGGGATCGCGAGCTTTGCGAGGCGTCGTTCCATGCCAAACCGGACTTGCCTCCTGGCAGAGGAACGCGCATCTACCGTTGCCGCCGCCGCCGAGCCTACCACCCCCAAATCTCCCCTCTACGCTCATCATTGCGCCGCCCCTCCACCCTTGCGCGCCCCCGCCCCCCCTCGGCGAGACGCCCAATCTCCGGCCCACTCCAGCGGATATTTCCCACGGCCTGGCGCTTGTAGCACAGCGTTGCAGCGCGCCGGCCCTCATCTCCTTCATCCTTCTCGAACAGTGGAAACAAGAAACGAAACGTGCCGAGACATGACGGCTCATGCCATGGAAGTCCGCTTGCCGTGGAATCAAGTTGGATTGATGTAACGATACGCGCTCGCCGTGCCACCCTTGGCTGCATCGCGCGCGCTACCCATCCATCGGACGATGCATTGTGTGGCAGCCAAAACGGCGCCGCATCGAATGCGGCGCATGCAGTATTTCGTCACGTTTTACAATCTAGACCTGGGCGTCAGTAATGAAGTGATCGAAAAAAAAAAAGCTCCAACGATTGAATTCAAGTCACCCTCTGAATGTGCAAGGCTGCAAGAGAAGGCAGATGGGTCCACAAGGAGTGAAGCTGTTCAGTCAGAGGACACTCGCATGGACGCAGGCATCCCCGCTTCAACGGGCGATTAGTTATGGACAAGACATCTGCCGGTTCTCGAGAGATTCGGCAACGCTTGAGTCGACCGAGGCGGCCAACACTTTAGGCTGTTTAGTCGTGGCCAGTATAATGTGGCCAGGGCTGGCCGCGATGCTGGTTCGCGGGCCAACTCTTGCAGCGTCCGACTGGTTACCAGCCAGATGGTAACGAGATATCGAACAAGTCAGTGTATGTACTAACAAGGGTTCACTTGATTCAAGAATGCAGACGGAGCTGCGTCCCACATTATTCTGTGTACGAACTGGTGGTCTTCATACGCAAGGGGTCGAACTCTCATCTTGTTTTGGTGAATGGCACCTTGACGATGTGATTGTTACCTAACATGCCACCCTGGACATGGCTTCTTCATGCATTCGGTGCAAAGGACCCATCGTCCCAGAGAATTAGAGCACCGAGTTAGCAGACTTGTGGAGGGTACTCATTCTATGCTATTCAACCTGAGTTCACAGTCACCAACCATGAGTCTCTCACGCGGTCCCGCGCTGTGACTCGCGAGAACGACTGAGGTACGCGAGCACCTACTCAGGGGGTGGATAGTAGTGCATATTGCGCTTGAATAGTGTGCCAGGACACGCGCAATCGAAATGTGACCGGCTTTGGCGGCTCCCGACCCAGCAGTCTGGTTCTGGAGTTGCGAGATTAAAAAGCAAAGAAAAAAAAAAAAGCTCGGGGTTCGTCTGCACGCCGCATGCGTGATCAGTCGGAGATTTCCCTGCTTACGCCCCTCTCGTTTGGCAGACCAAAGTTCCTGCATCGTAATCAAAGCGAGACGGATGGACAGATGAAGTTCGGAAATCCGACCACTCGACCCTTGCGTCGCAACGAAAGTAGGATGCAGACAAGCTCCCGGGCCGAGGCTGGGGATGACTCGTCACATCCCCAGTCGGACGGCTATGCTGACCTGTGATAGGCAAGTTGCCGTGACTGCTGCCATGTCCGGGGATTGAGATCGCCCAAAAGACCAGGCGGCCGTTGTTGGATGCCACGCGCCCTGCCAATGAGCTGCTTGAGGGCGATGCATCGGACACGAGGCGGACTGGCGCAAACAGGGGTTCGCCACATTTGTGTCTGCAGTGTCGCAAACGGCAGACACTACGCCATCGATACCACTCCACGCAGACGCCAGGCGACGAAGCGATAGAAGATATACGTGCAGTATGGATGATCGACTCCCATTCCATTGACCTAGACCGTTTCGAGCCTGACGCTACATGATTGACTGCTATGCAGTTGGTCTGGCGGCTCTTCAGTCGTCCGTCTGAGAGGGGTCGATGGACGGACGGATCGTACCAGACGGGAGAACACCACTGTCGCAGAAAGTTGATAAAGTTCGGGCTACACTTTTACCTACCTGGAGTGGAAGTAGAGCCGAGCATTAGCTTGCCGTCGTTTGTGTTATGATGTGCAATGGCTGAATGACAGGTTGCACGACTGTTGGCGGGTGGAATGGGCCCACCTGTCCGGCGGCTGCTGGAGGTCTGACGGGCTGAAGGTGCAACAAGGTGTATCGTTGCTCTGGGTCTGGGATCATGAGTGGCACGAATTGCTGAGCCGAGGGCTAGACAAGGTAAGCGAGGGCACTATGTAATGTACAGAGCAACGACCAACAGGCATGAGACGAAGGTAGGATCAAGAGTCTCACTGACAAATAGGACCGAGAGAATCCATTCATGTGACACAGATGCGTTTATGGCGGTCACGTTTCCCGCCTCGACGGAGGAAACCACCAAATGGCGTTGACAGGTATCTACCCTGACGCCTGGTCAGACTCGTGGTCTTACTCGACTGCCTGACAAGGTTGCTGATGACCCAGCAAGCCCAGCTTGCGAAACCTGTGCAGATGCCTGGGGGCTTTCGCTCCGCTATTTGGTCGACCTAGTAAGGTACTCCAAGCCACTTGTTGGTGATTTGATGGTACGCCGGGGTCCGTTCCAAACTGTCGGGTCCGTAGCTCTTCAGGGTTCAAGGGTATAGTGCGACTATCATCTGAGGGTGGACAGGGCACAGCTCTGTCGGTGACAGGGCACAGCTCCGTCAGTTACCCAAGCCACTGTACCCACCAGCGGGCCAATCTCTTCATCTCGCGAAACGCGGTACGCTCACTGGCAAGGAGCTTCAGACCTGGTATTGCACATCGCAGAGCCAAGGAGCGAGGGATCGTACGCAACGATGGTTTCCACACACCAGTCTCAACTGTCCACATCCTTGAAGACGACCATGCCGATGTCTCGAGATCAGCGAAATGAGGCGTCATCTAACCGTTGCAATCTAGGTAAGGGTAGGGAGATTTGTGCTTTCAGCCCTCGAAACGCCACTCATTGCGAAGCGGTGTAGTTTGCCTCGCTGAGTTGGTTGGCGGGCGGCTACCTTGATCCCCAGCAGGCGGCCTTGGTCAGTTACGAACTCTTGTTTGGAGCATGAGCCCCTCAGAATATGGCTTCCTGCGTACTCAAAGCAGCGTGAAAAGAAGCCATTGTGTGTGTCGCCAAACACATCCTTTCCGAATCACGAAGGCGTGGAAAAAGCCTGGCGCCCCAACGCCACGGCGGAGGCACAGACGCCAAGGGTTTCCATGGCATGCAATCCAACTGGGCTGTGGTTGGCAGCGAGAGGAGACCGCGGCCATGGGACTAGAAATCCTCGTCGGGATGATCGCTGAAAACGGGACTCCTGTTGATCCTTGTGACCGAAATGTCTTTGTGTAAAGAGATCCAGCGTCGTGCACCGATGCGAAGAGCAGCCACGAGACTGCCCAGTGCGACAATAGCAGTGCTTGAAAGACGGTCGAGGCCAGTGGGAACAAAGCCCTTGTATTCATGCACCCATATCTGCCGCCGTTTAAGGTCGATGGCTGCTGGCAGTAGGAGCATACTGGCGAGCCCTTTGTTCTGCCCACTTGTCCAATCCGTTTTGGCGTTCTTTTGGTTTCGACGTCTGCTTTGCCCTCTCAAACAATTTCTCCGCGGCTCTGAACGAGGTAACCTCCTAGATTGATTCCAATGCGTAAGAAAGGCCCACACTGTACGTTGTGAAAGGCATGTCGATGACGAGGACTCCCGCGGAGAAGGAAATTTGTCGAACTGCAGCCTGGTGGACAGATCCTCTGGGTAACTCATTAGCCCGTCCCAAGCTACTGGGCCCGACAAAAGCGGCGAGATCAACCCCTCCACCCATCCACCCCCGCCTCCTTCTGTCGACTGTGAACCCGTGGCGCTGGACGTGAAGTGGATTGATTTCGCTTGAGTTACTGTCTCCAGAAGTCATGGGCCAGCATCAATACGGTGCAAAGGATAACTCTGTCGCCACGCCCTACAAGGCTTGGCTGGCTTGCTTCTTGTAGCGGCCACGCACACGGATCAGATTTCAAGCATGTGAAGGGCAAAGCGAGGCAGGTGACTTGATGATGATAATGATGATGATGACGCGTTGGCTGGCTAGGTAAGGTAGGTACCTACCTGAGGTAGGTGCATGAAGGGGGGACAACCCCCTTTCTCGCGGCAGGCAGGCACCAGCCTGGGTATAGCAACCACAATTGGAGCTCACACCCTCTCGTCGAGCGAGGTATCCGAAGGAAGGAAGGAAGGAAGCATGGGAAAAATTGGGGATATCCCCGCTATTCTGGGTCGAACCTACTAGATTTTGGACCAACAGCTCAGCTTGACAGGCCCTGCCTTTCCTCTCTCTCTCTCTCTCTCTCTCTCTCTCTCTCTCTCTCTCTCTCTCTCTCTCGGCACCAGACACGCCCTAACGTTGTTTTGGAGGACGTACGGTGCCGAATTAGGTAGCTCCGGGACCCAACTAAAAGCTCATCAGCTTCATGCTACCTACATGTGTTCTCCCAGATCCGCGTCCCACCAAGGAGGCTGACATGACCAGAACCTTGGATGTTTCACCACTCGCGCCCACAACAGGGCACCCACAAGGAGCTAGAGAGAGGCAAGGAGAGTGATGACAGGGGATCAAAGAGACGGTCCTCCTTCTGCCTCGGTACCTAGGTAGGTAGGCAGATACCCAGGTGTCTACCTGGTGCCTGGCTGTCTGTAGGGCGGCTGCCCTGGCTAGGGATTCGGTTAGGCGTTGTGCGTGGAAGGCACAACTAGCTCCGACAGGGGACCCGGGAGCATTGAAGAGAACAGGCAGGGACAGGGAAAGGCATGCCGGGCAGGAGCGCGAAAGCGTGCAGGTTCAGGGGGTGCGGGTTGCGAGTGGGTGCGGGAGTCCTCCCAAAATTGCCCAGCGAAGACCGGACGGGCACTAAAACTCATCGTCCGTTGAGTGGGAAGTACATCTGACTGGCTGGCATGTTCCTTGTCTGGATCCACTTAAACGCTGGCTGAGCCGGGCCGTCCGTCGCCTTCCATGTTTCTGGGAAAGAGCCAGGGCTAGGAGAGATGCCTGGCAAGACACACTGGACACCTTACGCTATTTGCCTGTTGGTCCTGACTGCCAACGGTATCAACGACACCGTGAGGTGAAGTATCCTGAGGAAGGACAGACCCCGAGGACCAAATAAACAGAAGGATCTACCTAGCATGGGGATGCTCCTATCTCAGGCAGCTGATCTGCTCCCCGCACCTACCTAGGTACCTACCTACCTCATGTGGACACCGCAGGAAGTCGAGCTGCTTTCTCATTGCCCTCCCCAACAACCTCTCTTCACTGGACTTCAATCAATCTCGACATGACAATATCATCCCTCAGCATCCACAGCAACATTCACTACCACGTTTACGTCCACATGCGGCCGAATACATTGCTGTGGATGATCTCTAGACCAGCAAAACATCGTTGTTGGCCTGGCGCGCCTGGAATTCCCCAGTCAAGTCAGAGGCGCCAGACGTCTTTGCCTGTCCAGCCAGGTCCGTGTTCATAGTGCACTAAGATTGACGCCCGCCGTATGGACTTCATTGGACGAGGCCCAGACAACAGAAACACAGACCACCCGGCCCTGAACATGGAGCATGGAACATGGAGGGGTGGGCCTCCCCTTGTGCCCTACTAGACGTTACGTCGCCGCCGACGCCGCCAGGCCATGGGATGGCATGTCGGAGGAGGAGATGGGTAGAAAACAGAGGCAGTCAGGGAAACCATCCTAGTCTCATCAAGGTGTAGGCTAACGCAGGTCATCCGCAGTGGCAGGCGCAGATCCAGGCGCAGGCACCAACGTCAACAAGCGGCGGCTGCGGCAGACAAAGCGACACGGACACCACCTTGACTAGCCTGCTTCCACCCCCACTCTTTGCGTCCGTCCATCTTCTGGTCCCGAATCTGGCATCGCAATTATCGCGGGCAGGGAACCAGGGGGAAAACCCACAAATCTGAGCCTACTTTACCATACCTCGCTCGCCTGCTTCGCCCTAAGTGTGGGCAATTCCGTCCCTCCTCAAGTCCCGTCGCCCGGCTTTTGAATCTGCTCAGTTCTACTCTACTTCGACTAAAGTTCGGTGCCGTATCCTAAGGTAATTACTTAACGCTGCCATATCCCCCCCCCTGGACGATCGAGCCGATAGCCATTGCCTGCCTTGCCCACCCCCGTTCCCCGTTCCCGTTCCCGTGCCCAACGCCGAGTCTCGAATCGAGTCTCGAGTCAGGCCTGCCGCAGGTCACTTCGCCTTCCGTCACCAACGCCAGCGCCTGCACAATCTCCAATTCTTGCTCCACGCCCGACCTTGCTTCAGCAAAATTCCGACACTACACTCAGCCGCCAAAGCCTCCAATTGATCGACACAGGCCCAGATAGTCTACGCCTCAAACCCGCAGCCTCGCTCCTCGCACTGGATCATTCACTTTTGAGTCCGACTTGGGCTTCTCAGCATTGCGACACCGTCTGGTCATTCCTCGAAGATTGACCTCCATTTGTTTGCCTCGGAACGGCTCACTCTAGATTGCTTGAGCCACAGTCAAGTAGCATTCGAATCAACCTTCGCCTGTGCCTCTCACTTTTTACGACATTGCTTCGACGCCTCGAATGGCCGTTTGGGCGGGCCAGAAAGGGACGTGAACTCCGTCGTCACCCGCGAGCGAGATATTCCAAATCTGTCAGGTAGGTGTGCCTGTCAAGCTGCTCCTCTGTGGCATGGCTTCGATATCGTCCGCGCAGCACCATTGTCCTATGCCGTCACAGTCCTTCGTCGTTCTCACTCCACCCCCCTCTCGTCTCCTAGCACACCCACTCGCTGGTCGATTGGTTTTTTTTCCCGCCTCACATGCACGGCGCAGCACATCATGCCCCTAGTTGGCTCTGCTCTGGAGAACTTGGACAAGTCAGCCAGTCGCCCAAGCAGTCGTCACGCTCCACGCAGGTGCAGCAGGTACTGGCTTTCGGGCCAACAACGTTGCGCTCGTCTGCTGTTCACAGCTCTCTGTCAGCGCCTCAGTAGGCAGGCAGATGTGCAGAGATACACGGACCGCGACGGTTCGTCCTGTCCTGTCCTGGATATGGCTCCACGCCTCAAGTTGTTGGCCACTTTGGCGGGCTGCCTACCGACTTTGTCGTAGTCACCCTGTACGGTGTCGTGTCATATCTTGTCCCGCAACAACACATCGCAAAGGAAGAGACAGATCCCCGTCCTCACTGGGCGTTCGTGTGTGAGGTTGGGACATGGTACAAGGCCTAACTGTCACTGGGATACAAATCAGTCAAGTTACTCTGCCCGGCCCTCTGCAAAACACACACGCTCATCCTTGCGTCCCCATGTTGTTTCCTGTTGGTTGTCTCGATTCGTTCACTCTTTTATTCTCCTGTTTGCCTGGCCTGGTCGTCATGCCTCCGTCTACAAGGACCGTCGTCCGCCCCATAAAAAGGTCCTGTGCTCGTCCTCAGAGGAGTGTGTTCTACCGACATGCTTTGTCTGCAGCCTGCCAACCGCCACCACCACTACCTCGCTTCTCTTACAAAACATACTTGATACGCTCCCTCTTCACCCGGACGCCTCTGTCATTCTCCTAGAAAGAAGGCAGCTTGTTTCTGTCTGTTCCTTGATTTTGACTCGTTGCTTGGTCTGGAGTAGTCAGGCTGACCTATTCGGAAGGTATCCCATCCTACAACCACCGACGCTTATAATCAGAGCATTGCCGCACTGCCTGAGTACCCGGACTCGACCAATTAAGGCCCTTGATCTCGCTTCTTGCATCTGCATACCACCACAGAGCTCACCTATCACCACATCGGAGTCTCGGTTATCCAGGCACCACACCACCCACCCCCCACTGCTGGCTTAACAACAATCGCGCGTTTCGCGTGTCAGCTATCATGTCTATCAACGGGTATGGCTCTCCCCCCGCCGCGCCCCCTGACTCAGAATGTAGTTATCTTGCTAACTAATCGTCGGTCATCAGCAGAAATGCAGGATCGCAAGGTTATCGGGAAAATGGACGTGTTTATGGAGAGTTTCGTCCTGGACGTTATTTATTCCCCATCGATGAGGTGAGTCAACTTGCAAACTGGAGTTATTCGGACGTCTTGCTGAAGTCACTCATGTGCATAGGAAGAAAAAGACAGGTTTGACGTCCTTCACCGAGTTGTGTCGTTGGCTCGGCAGAATAAGCACTTCGACAACGAGGTTCCGGACCGCGCCCGAGTTCTCGATCTCGGCACGGGCACTGGCATATGGGCAATCGATGTTTCCGAGTAAGACACTGCTTGTGTGTATTTCAAGGTGACTATATCCACTGACGACACATGCAGCGCCCTCTGGAAGGGACCTGAGAACCACGGTCTCGTACATGGACTAGATCTTGCTTATATACAGCCCGCCGAGTGAGTTCGGACAACTTGCTGCAATGGCTGAAATCTCACTGGCTGACACACTCCAGCGTACCATCTACAGTGTCTTTTATGCAGGCAGATGTAGAAGAACCCTGGCCGCTGCGCGAGAATGATTACGACATGATACATATTCAGCTTTTGAAGGGTGGGATTCGGGATTGGACGGATCTCTACCGGAAGATTTTCAGGTAAGCACTGATTCGCAACCAAGGACTACTCGATCATCTGCTAAAGCACCGATCAGGCATCTGAAACCTGGAGGCTATCTGGAACATGTAGAGATCGACTGGACGTTCCGGTCTGACGACAACACACTCACCTCCGACACAGCTCTGGTGGCTTGGAGCGAAGCTGTGCATCGGGCGTTACGGACCTTTGGCACGCCACTGGACATCAATGACAGAATCAAAGGTGACCTCCAAGCGCTTGGTTTCACGGACGTAACCGAGACAATTGTCAAGCTCCCGATCAACCCCTGGGCCGACAATAAGCATGACCAAGAGTTGGGTCGATGGTTCAATCTTGCAGCCACTCATGCCGTCAACGCCATGAGCCTAGCACCACTCACCCGGGTTGAGGGTTGGCCCGTCGAACAAGTACAGAGTCTCGGAAGCGAGGTGAAGAAGAACCTCTGCAAACTAAGCATCCATGCATACTGCAGACTGTAAGTGGCCCCCTATGCAGTTACCCGCCGAGAAGGCGCAGACACGCTAATAGTCGAGCGCAGACATGTATGGACAGCAAAGAAACCGAGCCAATGATGAGGGCGAAGGAGCTTGGCCCAATTACCGATCCTCGGCATGTGTTGTATTTCCACCTTTCTCGGACAGCTCAAAAGCTTTCAGTCGACGGAGGGGAAGAGGCTTCATGGCATCCCGCGCTCGAAAACGCGTCGCGAGCAAGTGTTGGTGACCCTGTCGTTACCCTCCCGTCATTATAACACGTTGTCGATACTGGTGCTGGTGACCAGAAACCGCACTACAGACCAGACGCCCCTAAACTGGACGAAAGCACAACATCGATTGGGTCATCGAGCCTTTTCCAGCCTCTGTATACTACCACTATCATCACCGCCTTTGCCATATATCATCACTTTATTCACCAATATCTCATCGTCCTTAGAATACATCCTGGTAGCCTTCGCTTCGAGGTGCGCTCTAGAAAGCGAGGGGGCGCCCTACACAGCGAGGTCATCCTCCCTTTTGGCTGCGACAACATTTGCTGCGTTCTGAAGCATACCGCATGAAGCCCTCCTATCAATTTTCGGACGGCATGGAAAATTCAATATCTGTCTGGTTTACTAGGCCAGCTTGGGGCTCGACATTGGCCAGCGAGTTCGCTATAGTGAAGAATCTCACTGTCCAACGCAACCGCGGCCTCTAAGGATCATCTGATCTCTTGACTAGACCCCACAGGATGTGGTTGCCCGCTTTGGTTCGGGAAGTTTGCCAAGCCTCAAGCTCGTCCCGGGTAGTGGCCGTAGGCCGCCTAGCCTGGCACCCGCAGTTGATGCAGCGTGCAGAATAGCGCGGTACCTGCCACCAAAATGAAACGTCGGTCGCAGGCATGCCTTGCACCTTGTGTGACTGGCGCATAGGAGCTGCCTTGGATTATTGGTTTCATTGTTTTTTAGTTCTCGCGTTCAGGCAGACCATCAGAGTCCTGCTCCTTCTTCTGTAGGCCGCAAAGCGTCATGTCATGTCCAGATCTCCAGAGGCTATTTCTGCTACCTACATTATGGTTCGGGAATGGGAAATCTCTCGGTGCAATGATATGTGTGCATTTGTAAATATCGATATTTTCCACTTATCGGTTGGGGACACTTGGAAAGCATGGAGGCGATTGGATGCCTGAAAGCAGTAGATTTTGGCATGGGTATAAAAAATCAAGTAGAGTTTGCATGCGTTGCTGCCGTATGCACAGTGAGCTTTCTCAATACCAATTTTGGCGCTCAATGACCGTTTCAATCGACAGCTACTTTTTTACAACTCGCGTTCGGTCATTATCAGATGGTACCCGTCATTCCGGCAGTCTAACCATGTCTTTAGGCCCGGATACTGATCGTATGAAAGCTTCCGGCTTCCTCAAGCTTCCCGCTCCCCTCAGCCCTGCCAGATGGTCTTGCCTCTTGTTTTACTTCACGTATTTCCCACCATTGCATTGCCTCTTTCACCATCTGACTTGAGTAGCCGACTGGAGAGTATCAGGTCGCTTGTTGAAATGTCTTGCCATGGATGATATTACCTCGGCCATGCACCCTCGTCCTGTACTTGAACAATCGGCCAAGCAAACCTGCCAGCGTTGCTTTGACGTGTACTTGTCGTTGTACTTCCTGTCCAGGTCCCCTGTGCTTTCATGTATAGGGGTTGCTTACGAGAATGGCTCCCTCGTCACCCTGCACGACGGCGGGCCAGAGAGGCGGCTTCGCTCGCACACGCCTTGTCACACCTTCTGAACATCAGACCCAGGCTCCCCCTCCTCCTGTGCCGTCCCCGGGTATCCCAATGTTTTGCTGCATGGGAACCAGGTCGAGGTGTGTGGCTGGCTATCGTGTGCTACCTGTCCGCTTGGTTCACGAACATGACGCAGGCAGTTATTTTGCTGGCATTGTTGGGCGCAGGGCATGCGCTGTCCCCGGTTTGCCCGGCTGATACTGTGTTACCGGTACCGGTGTCCCGTTGGCGGGTCACGGAACGGTGATTGGAATGTGAGGTATCTGCCATCTCTCTGTTGCGTTGCCCCCTTGTTGGTTAGGGGCCGGCGCACGGCATCGTTGTCCCTTTTCTCCTTAGGGGCGGACAGGTTAGGGGTTTGGTTTGCCGTGGCGGTTCCTTCGTGGATTTTTGCCTCCCTTTGGAGGGAAGGGACTATTCTCGTGTGACCACCGCTGCTGCTGGTGGCGAAACATGGCTTGCAGGCCTTCGATGAACCCGCGGTCTTTGGCTTCTGTTACCGGCTAACCCCCCCCTGCTCTCGAAATCTAGGCCACATCCCTGACATGACTTAGGTCGCGATGGTTGGTATCGCCAACCCGGCAAGACGGATCGTGTTATCCCGTCTAGCTCGTGGACTGGACACGCCTTCGACCGGTGGGTAGGCGACGCTCTCCCGGCAGGGGAGGATGCATGTCCAGCTGGCACTGCATGGGCAAAGGAGCGCTATAAGACCGTGTGACCTCTTGAATATCGGTGCTAGCGCCAACAATCCGTGACTTTCGCGTGTTGTTGTTCATCGGGCTTTGTCAAGAAAGAGGGCGGTGAGGTCAAAGTTCATGGGGGATGTGGATGGAAAGGACGTTGGTGATAGACGGCGTAGTCGGGCATGATGGACCAGTGATTCAGGGGTCTGTAGGCCGCTCGGTGGAACTGTGTGTTTGGTACCCATCGATCGACGGCGGTGACGATGACGATGTAGATGTTTGTGTGTGTGTGTGTGGAGCTGGCCGGATCGCGGTGTGTTGTTGTTTTGTGTTTTTGCGTGGCACGAGGGAAAGGGGGCCGCTTGATGGCGGCCATACGGGGGCCTCGGGCGGCCTGCTTAGGGTACCTGACATTGTTCTTGATCAACTTGGTAGGATGAGCTGGAAGGGGCCCGGAATGGAGAAGTTGGCGCCTGATTGAATTGCTGATCTTGTTGGTTGTTGAGAAATGTTGGGTGGCTTATCGTGTATGGGCTTGTGTGTCAGACTTGATCGATGATCGTGACACGCACCGTCAGCCGAGTGCGAGATGCCCGTCTTGAGGATCGATACGACATGTGCAGCCTCTTGCGTCTCTTGCTATGGACCAGAGAAGCATCAATTCGCAATGATGCACATCTGTGATGTTTGCTGTGTGGATAAGTTGAAGAGACCAAGCAGGCCTCGCTTTGGTCAGTCTTGATCGCAGTCAATCCAAGCCTCCAGCTGCGTGTGCAAGACACACGGACAGGCAATTGAGGGGAGGGTCCTGGGCGTTACATGAGCAGATCCTCACATATCTACTTTGTGACTGCTTGCTGAAGCTTCATATAGGATGTGTAGCAAGTAGCTCATGAAGCAACGCATCATAGGACACTTAGTACTTACCTCTGAGCGTCATTAGGTCGCCTTGCAGATATGTAGAGGACATGACTCATGTCGGAGTGAAGACATGCCATGAGACACACCGGATGGCATGCACCATGCTTCGACGAAAAGAAGGCCGATAAAGTCACGACGGCCCTGTCGTTAAACCACCACTCTCAGCACGTATAGTCGCCATTCGGATTCGGCAATTCACAGCAATGCGCAGGCAAATCCTTTCAACGAGTTCTTCCCATTCTCCCCGCCGTAGGCAGAGCAGACAGCAGCCGAGCTGCGTCCAGGTGGTGGTGTACAGGGTCTACAAAAGAAAAAAACCGATGATCATGGGATCCAACCGAGGAGCGAATCTGTCTCCCTCGGTCTATCCCTCTCCCTCCTCGCGCTCATTGTTCCTGACCCGACATACGACGACAGGATCTCCGGGTGAGCCCCCATCGCCCTTGACGGAGATGAAAACCGAGGATGCTGGATCTGCCATCCATTATGGCCGTCTATTCGAAGCTTCCGTGTATTCTTTTCCGTCGAGCTCGCTTCGCTCCCTTCTCTTCTATGTCACGCCCGCGACCCCCAGTTCGCGAGACTGTGTCTTGCCGATTGCAAAATAAAGGACTTTCCCTCGCCCATCGCTAGCAGGTATGCGCTTAGTGGTGAGCGGCACCAGTCTCGCCGTGGTAGCCGACGAGCTTGAAGCGGCCGATCATCTCGCCAATGGTGAAGAAGCCGAGGCACTCGGCGGCGACGACACCGACGGTGACAAGCGTCGCCGTGTTGATGCCGCGGAGGCGCTGGGCAGCAGCAGCGGGCTGCTGGGCCGCGGACTGAGCAGCGGACTGGGCGGTCTGGGAGGCGGAGCTGAAGAGGGCGCCGGGGTTCTTGGCGGACTGGAGAGCGTTCTGGGCGTAGGACTGGAAGGTGGCGATGGGACTGGCAAGGAGTTCATTGTCAGGTTCTTTGTTCGTGTTCATGCTTTGGCTCATGACCTTGTGGGCATGTGCTGGTCTTGCAAGCCATCAGGGAGCAAACGCGCTGAAACTTACGGAGGAGCCATCTTCTGGCCGCGGAAGACAATCTTGGAGACCTCGAGGCCGACTTTGGAGTAGTAGACGACAAAGGGGACCTGCTTCTCGACAAAGGCGATGACACGGCCGGTGCGACCGCCGACCTTGCCGAGGGCGTTGGCGACGCCCTTGGCAGCGCCGGCGATGGCGGGGCCGGCAGAGCTGGAGACGCGGCTCAGACCCTCAGAGGCCTTGGACTGGATGTTCGAGGCCTGCTTCTTGGCGGCGTCGGCGGCCTTTTGGGTGGTGGACGACTCGAAGCGGGCGGCGATGCGCGAAGGGAGGCGGGTGTTCCTCAGGGCGGCGGACCGCAGGACGGGACGGGCGGCGACGGCAGACATTGTGATGGTAGGCGGCAGAAGAAGGATTTCAACCGAGGGCAAGGGATCGAAAGGGCTTTCGTAACTGGATGAACGTTCGAAGGCGCGTTGGTCGGTGAAGGGGGCTCGGCGGAGTGTCGCTGGCGGCCAATTGATGGAGATGGGCGTGGAGGTTGAGGTCGGGGGTGGTGAGGTGACGAGACGGGGCGAGCGAGGATTGGAAAAAAAGAGCTCGGAAGATTTCGCTTCAGGTTGTTCCATTGCGAACCGGGCAAGTGGACCTCTCGCTCTCTCCTTCTCTGTCTGGTGAGTGGCTGGCACTGTGGCTCGGGCCGCTAACTGATTGGGGGAGCTCGGCACAGCCAATGACAGGGTGCCAATTCAGTGTTGGCAAGAAGGGGCCCAAGCTCCTTCCACGAAGTCAATGGCAGGAAGGAATAGACAGGCGCGCAGTTTCCTTTGCCCCTGCCGTCTTCACAAGCTTCTGCTTCTCTCTGCAAGGTCGCAAGAAGCTTCTCTCAACAAGGTCACAATGGCACACCGCGTGCATCGTCACTATGAGACATCAACTAGTCCATCTCACGAGATTCATCATGATACAAGGTACAGAAGAATGTGGTATTCGACACCAGGAAAGCCAGTCATGCCGTCGTCACAGTCACCACCACTCTAACACTTTCGCCACCCAACACCCCGATGCTAATCAGTTGCCTCCTTGCTGAAGTGTCATTCTCTCCCACCATCAATCACTCCAGGCTCTGGATCTGCACCTTGATGGCGCCCGTCTTGGGGTCCTTGGCCGTGTCGAATGCCTTGAGCGCATCCTCGAGGTTGAACCTGTGCGTGACCAGCTTGGTGAGGTCGATGACGCCGCTCTCGACGAGACGGATGGCGCGCGGCCACGTGTTGCAGTACCTGTACTGCAGCTGAATGTCAATCTCCTTGACGCTCGCGCGCATAAAGGGAATGTTGATCTCGTTCTTGCCGACACCAATGATGAAGACCTTGCCGCCAAACTTGCACGCCCAGATGGCCGCGGCGATGCTGCTCTCGACGCCCGTGCACTCGAGCGCAATGGCCGGCTCGACGCCGCCAAACGCCTGGACAATGGCCTTGGCCGAGTCCTCGGGCGTCGCGCGCTCGACCTTGTGCGTGATGACCGAGGGGCAGAGCTCCTTGGCGAAAGCGAGGCGACCCTCGTCAATGTCGGTGATGACGAGCGGCGTGGCGCCCGCGGCGCGGCAGCAAAGGAGCGTGATGAGGCCGATGGGACCGGCGCCGCAGATGAGGACGGGGTCGCCGAGGCGAACGCCAGCACGCTGCATGCCGGCGAGGGCGACGCTCAGGGGCTCAAGCATGGCGCCGTTCTCGTACGACATGTCGCCGATCT